GGTGTTGGGCCGCGGCCCGGGCCGGGCAGGTCCCTGGGGGAGGCAGCGGCAGAGCCCGTGCCCGGGCCCAGAGGCCCTGCTGCCCCCTCTGGGCACCTCCCGCCTCACCTCGTCACCTCACAGGGCGTCTGCCCAGGGCTCTCCCGCTCCCCGGGCCTGGAGATCCCACAGGACACGGCTGCTGAGGGAGCCATTCCCCGTTGCCAGCAGGAGCGGGATGGCAGTGCCCGGTAAGTCCTTTGCTGCCGACAGATCGCACATGGGGCAGGATGTCGTTAATTATTTAAACATTGGCACCACCGTAGCTTTCTCCCAACATTAACAACAGAAGGAATTTCCCCACCAAATTATCTACCGGCTCTTTGATGAAACTAAAGCCTGTTTGATTTTATAATGGATGCTGTATCACATAGAACTTGGCACCTGTTGGGTATTAAATCATGAGCCGAGATGCTTAGAGAATGGCAAATGTTTCATCACATACATGGAGTACTTCCCCATAGCCTTTGGGAGTATCATTACAAGCATTCCTATTCTCAGCATGTTTAAAAAAAAACAACCCACAACACATTATTAGCTATGATTATTCTCAAATGGAGTGCAAAGTGGTGATATTGGTATAGCTACAAGAGTAAATCTCACATTAACACTTCAAAAACCTTGTACCAGAAGACTGACCCTGCAAACACAAGTGTTTCCTCTTTATATTGCATGATGTCTGAAGACAAATCTCCTTTCCCTCCTTGCTACATCACTGTGCTTTGGGAATACTGGTAATTGACGGATTCTCTCTTCAAAGCTCTTGGCATATCAAAGGCATGGAGCAGCTTGGCAGTGTGACAAAGATTTTGTGGGAAACCTGTAGCCTTTTTTTAGAAAAGAAAAAAACAAACAGTCAGCAACTGCAAGAGAAAGCTGTGTTGTCTCCTGGAGTGTCTCTAAGGAGATTTCAGATTAATCAGCCAAGGAAATCAGGTCTGCTTACTACTATAATAATTATTATTATTCATATTATTATTCCTGATGTTATCTTAATCCCTAGGAATGTTCAGCACAGACTAAAAGCCCCCTGTGGGCTTGCAAACAGGTGATCCCCCAGACCAACTGATTTCTGACATAGCTTGGAGTCTAGGCCTAAGACAAGAGATGTGCACGCACACACAAATGGGAAGAGAAGAGAAACAAGAATTGATCAACTACATCAACAATGACCTTTCACACAGGTGGAAAAGCATCATAATCAATGAACATTGTATTTTGATGCCAGAGTTGGGAAGTAAAACCCCAGCCCTCACTGCTGGCACAAAATATTGACATAAAATCCTTCATAGTCCTCTCTGAATCCTAGATTTCACATAGAAGCTGAATCTCAAGGCTTTGGTCCAAACTCATACCTGGAGCAGTAATTGCAAACCTGACTCAGAGAAACGTAATTTGGGTGTGAACTGGGAGCCTGTGCTTTGCCATAGGGTTTTTGTGCCCAGCCCAGGTAGAGCAGCACACTGCTCCCTTAGCAAGTCTGAGGAAAACTGAAGCTCCCTCTAACTGTGAAACTGGATCTGTGATCTCCTTATAGGCTAGCTCTCAGCCTGGTATAAATGGGGTCTTAGAACTCTCTCTGCAAAATACATAAATAATAAACCAAAACATTCCTCACTTTGCACCTTCATGCTGCCAAATTTCCTCAAAGCCATTTCCACCATCCAAAGGAAAACTGGCTAACTATTTCTGCAGCAAACTTTAGTACTCACTTCTTTCCCCTCACAAGTCTGTGCAGAGCTGCCTTGTAGGCAACCATCAGGTCTGACTAATCAACTCTGGAGGCAGTGGGGCTTTGTTAGCCTGGATTAAGACTTGAGATCTTGGCAGGTAAACCCTTGCCAAAAGATGTTTGCAACTAATTGATTATTTCCGTTTTACAGAAAGTCAGTCTCTGGGTATAAATAAGTGTGACAGCATCCAGGGTGATCAGCTGTAAAGTAACTTACAACAAAGAGTCAGACCTCAGTCCCAGTGAGATTCTCATTCATTGCTCTGCTTACTTCTTTTTTGGTTACTTCTCTTCCTCCAAAAACACCAAGCCTGGATTAAATAAGTACATTCTTGAGAAGTAGCAATGAGGGGCCCAACTTGTGTTTAACTTCACTCAATGCCTTTACAAGGCAGCAAGGAAAATGGCTTCCCTGTTTTGTGACAAGAAGCAATACATTTTCCAGCATGTTGCAGCTGGGACCCAGCTGCTTATGGCAGCTCTGAGCAAATGTGAATAGTTTCAATGTAAAAGCAGAAAGATGACTTGGCCTTTCCTCCTCTTGGAGCAATTGCACGCAGGGTGAAACTTTGGATAAATGCCTGGTGGAAAGAGGAATGCTGCAGCCATCTGGGATCTAGCCCAATTATCTGATTGAAATAGATACACAAAGCAAAACTTTCCACAGAAGAATTAACTTTGCAATCATTACCTATTCTTTGCCTGGGTTCTTACGTAGAAATGGGTACCAACTACAAACTGAGGAACTACAAACTGAGTTTTCTACAGAGATAAAGCAGGGCAAGGACACTGTGACATCAGTCGGCTTTGTATTTCTACCAGTACAAGCTTGGCAGCAAGCTGAAAGACAAAGCAGACAGGAGGTTGGCAGCCAAAGCAGAGCTTAGAAGCACATCTGTTAGCATCTTCCTGCATTGGGCTACATGAGGTGTGCACAGTTGTCTTCTCCCAAGAGGTTTTTTCCAAGCACCTGCTTGCAAGCACATGCCAACACTGTGGTGCAGGCCATCTCTGGTATTTATTAAGTCTGTTTAGTGATTCCTCATGGTCCTTTCAAGAGATGTAAGTCTAGCAAACCATCTTGGCTTAGTTGCTTTTGTGCAATAAACCTTCAGGGAAAGATCTCAAACACTGGTTTCACTCATTAAAGCAAAACTGATGTTTGTCTTTGAGGAGCATCTGTAAGTCCACAAGGCTTGTGCTCTGGTCGTCTTGGCACTTTATAAAACTGTGCCTTTAATCAAGTGAAAAACGACAATAAAGACCTTTCTGGGGATTTAACACTTCCAATCTGCTGGTCTACCTACTCTGTTTTCAGTTTAGTTCATGCAATGGATGGAAATGAGTCTACTAGGAAGCATAAGGAAATTATTGTGGTAGGAAAATTGGAAAGCTAACAAGAAGGACTATGCCACACCATCCAACCTTGCCTGAAAACACAGGAGAAAAGCATAGCAAGGAGAAGTAATGACTTATGAGAGTATATTGACTCAGGGTGCATCGTACCAGGCACATGTTATCTATCTCAGGGGCTCCCAAGCTCTGGCAAATGGCTGGATCATGGCTAATACACAAATGACTACAAAGAAGCACACCCACAGCTCCTAGTCCCAGGCAGCTGCAGAGAAACCAGGGAATACTTCAGCAACAGCTCCACAAATCCTTCTGCATATAGTTGAGAGACTCTGAGGCTCTACGTTCATAGTTCCTCTTCCAAAAAACGGCATCACACTTGCCTTTTCTCCTCACTGCCTCTCACCCCAACTGCTGAATTTACAGCCTCCTCTTTCCC